ATGCCACACATTAAACTAGATGCAAAAAATTCTCTTATAAAAACCGCAAATGAAAACTCTGACCAAGCAAAATAATAATAAACTTTCTTTGCTTTTTTAGTTTTTTATGTCACAAATTACAACAACATGAATATTTTTACCAAGTATAGACTTAGCTGATATAATTAAAACATTATTTTTTACCTAAATAGGAGAACTAATCTTTATGCTCTGAAACAGAGCACAGTCTTGGTAATTGTAATCCTATTCTAATTACGCTAAGGTTTATCGACTAAGTACAACAGCAATATACAGGGTGTTTTTAAAAGAATGCCGGTATTTTAAATGGCAAATGCTTGGATACTATTCAAGGTAACGAAACGTTTTATACGTCAAATTGAAGCTAAAATAACTAAGTTTTGTTTCCCGTGTAGCAAAGGAGGAAACTTTGACCTTGGCATGTGTAAAACAGGTGAGTTTCGGGGTGATAGGCCATATACGCCTGACGCCAGTGCGACGTTTACGGCGCAACAGAGGGCACAGATTGTAATCTGTAGTTCGCAGAGTTTATATCCATTGCTAAATTAAACTAAATTTAAATCTACCTACTTGATGATAAAGAAACTTGAAACTGGTTTAATGATTGTTCAAAGGTTTATTGCGGACATTTTCCATCACGAAAGTAAAAAACAATACACAACGTTTCGGGATCTGGAATCTGATCCCGTCTTCAGACTGCCATGTATCCAGTCATGACTTGACTGCTATACAGAGCATATTTTTTGACTACTACCCTCGGTAGTGTATTCCAACTTAGGTTGGGCGTTTGTGTATTGTTAGTTGTAATGTGTTAGTTAAGTTTTTTCACCTGAAGACGGGATCAGATTCCAGATCCCGAAACGTTGTGTATTGTTTTTTACTTTCGTGATGGAAAATGTCCGCAATAAACCTTTGAACAACATTAACTCACCATCACCAACAATGAACTTCAAACAAAGAATTGGTTTAATGAGTTTCGTGGCACTGAAGTGTTTTGAAAAGACCTTCACCTGGCCGGCTAAAGACAAGCGATTACATGGTCGAAGAAATCCGACGATTCTGCATCAGAAGCCCGAAAAAGTCTTCAGTTTAACACACCTAAAATGGTCACTTTATGATGTTATCTATAAAAGATAGAGTCTTTGTGCCGAAAAAGAGTCAGTTAAGCCATCAGATAAACCTGCCAATCGCCCTAAGCGTTCAGACTTTGCCAGTTTTACGCTCATTTAAGATTGATGAAAATCTGAATTTTATCAAATCATTCCGAATTGTATGAAAGAATGAGAAAAAAACGTTATTCTTTTCCCTTCAATTTGACGTTTAAATTGTTTAATTACCTTGATCCCCGAGCAACGACAGTTTGAAATCCTGGCATTCTTTTAAAAACACCCTGTATATTGTTTGATAAAGTTCCCAAATTGTTTATTTTAGGTCAAAAGTTGTATTTAATCAAACATACGGTACCACTTTTTTAGCACCGACTTTACTATTTGATCTAACTTTTGTTTTGACATAGTCTAACAGTGAGTGTATCATTCTAATTATACTGATGTCCATTCTATTAACTGGATGAGATAATAACTTAATGAGACATTTAATGCTCCACATGAGAGAAATGTTGCGGCATGAGCCGCAGGCGAGTGCGGAAAATTTCTCTAGTGCAGAAAAGGCACTTTGCACTGGCGTTACACATTATATTTTTCCTACAATTACTATAAAGTATATAAATAAATATTCTTTAGAACACTAAACAACAAGTTTTTAGGTTAGGTTATACCCAAGCGTTTAACGAAATGGAAGACGCTGCACCAGCTGATCTTAGTCGCTGTATCTTTAAGTGTTGCAAACTTATTTTCAAGTGTACACGTGTTACGTGCCTAATAAAAATTCACTGTTTTGTGCTGTTTGGTTCGAATACTGGAGTGCTGCAAAATAAATGAGGTCGGCAAAAAAATGAGTGCAGCAATAATAAGTAAATGGAGCAGTTAGCTACTTTGCGTTCTATAATCAGTGCAAGGAAGCCCACTTAGTCAGGTAACTGTAGGAAAAAGTATTTCTACACAGTTATGTTACATCTAATAGCGGTAAAAAAATATTATTATTGCTACAACTAATTCTATAAGTTACTTACATAAGATAAACACTACTAGTGCTGATGTAGACTTCATTGTGAGGGTTTTCAACGTACAGAACAGGTGACACACAAAACAACACTGGTGGTAGTAGAACAGATCAGCTGATATATATTACAGACAGACAAGGTGACCAGAGATGACCTTAGATAACCTTTATACACAGGTGTCCTTGGCAGGCAACTGGGATTCACCAAACAAATCAAGTCAGGCTTTCCTGTAGTCAAAAGTAATTAGCATTACACTGATGTTATTTTGTGTAAGTAAAGATAACTGTTAAGTACCCTAGCAATTTGACGGGCATTAACTTGTAAAAACCAATCTAAAATTAAATGGATATCAAAATGAAAAAAATGTTTACATCAAAGAATTGATTGGACTTGTATGAAGTATTAAAACTATAGGTATATGCTTATAAACTAAAACAATACACAGACAATGAGTGTGAATCACCTATTTGAGAGCCCACATCAATTTTGTAAACCATTTTGATTCTTATAAAAAAAAAACAACCTTGAGTTTTTGGGTGATTTTCCTGCAAGTTTCCATACAAATGTGTTGGTGTAACGTAACCTTTTTGTTTGATTTTGAACTGTGGCATTTCTGCTACTGTTTTGTTTTATTAATTGAAACACTTGGTCTAAAGCCTAGTGGTCTAACAAGGTAAGCTGGTGGAACAAACTAAGATAAGTTACCGGTACCTATACTTTTATTTTGTTTATCCAAGTGACTACAATTAGATCTGACCCTTCAAAGTAATGCAAAATTGGATATGCACATTGGATTGCTATGCAGTAAATTATCAAAGGGTATTTTTGTGTTGATTAGGCTAAGATCTATTGTGTCAAGGGATATTCTCATCGTTGTTTTATTATACCTACCTTCTCAGCTATGAATCATGGAATTATTGTATGGGGTAATGATACCAGGATTTAAAAAAATTTTAATTATACAAAAGCGTGATATTTAAGTTATAGCAAATGTTGACATTGGACCCACTATAATCCATTGTTTAGAAAGCTTAATATACTCACTGTGCGTACAGTGTATATTTTAGAGTGTCAGTTGTTTACTAAAATGAATTTACATACTATATCTACAAACAAAAATGTTCATATCAATTTAACTAGAAACGTAACCCACTTATTATTTCCCAGAGTAATTTAAAAATTACTTTGAATTGTTTTGTTGAAATGGGCAAAAAACTGTATAATTCTCTACCTTCTCATTATAAATCTTTAGAATTTAACTGTTTAAAGAGGAACGTTAAGCATCTTTTTATTAGCATTAGTCCATATGACATAAATGAGTTTTTTTATGTTAATGACCATGTAACTTAAGTATGTCTATGTTTATATGTGGACTGCTTTATATTTATATTTATTTATAACTGGTTGACACTGCCATACATTGTAAAACGTTCTGGCAATAAAGATTTGATTGTAAGCTGGATTGGAAAGGAACCTGCTCTGTTAGCCTTGGCCTTAAATTTACCAGATCTTGGAACTTTTCTTGATTATATGTAAGGCATTGAATATTCCATTGAGAAGGTTACCCTGATACAACATCTCATACTCATTTGCATACATACATTATTTACATATATGTATGAATTTTTTAAATAATATCTGCTTATACTTTGAGGATTTTTATAAACCTTTCCTCACAGTTTATTGCAAATGGTAGTATTCTTAGTGTCAATCAAAAGTTCTAAATTTCCCAAAAATTTTCATTTGAATGGTATGAACAGGAGATCATTAATTTGAAGATCACGTTTTTTATGATGAGGCAGTAACTTCAACTTCACATAAAACAGTTTTCACTCTCATCTGTAAGTTTTATTTGCGTACTTTAAAACTCTTTCATTTAATCAACACCAGTTAATGCTTAAGTCTAAGTCTCAACTAACATCCATAAAGCTTAGAAGATTGTACAAGATGGTAGTAAATATTACTTGAGTTAATAGTCAAAGGTATAATTTACTAAATCAAATATACAGACACTCTATAAAAATCTTTACAAGTTATATTGTTAAATAGGTTATTTAGTAAAGTAGCTTGTAATGTTATAGTAGCAGCATTGACCGTTTCCGTAAAATTGTATGTGATATTTTAAAATAGACTTTTAGCCCCTGGGTATCTTTTATAATGAATAAAATGTTGGAATAATGGTCCATACCACGAATATTAGAACAGACCGGTATAGATCATAAAAAAATTTACGTAACTGGCCTGATCCTAAGTTAATAACATTAACAGTAGAACCAGGGGACCTATGCTACTCCTATGTATATATTCGTTCAAAGGAAGTAGCAGTGAACCCTCAAAAGTTATTCAATTGGATTCTATGTGTCTGTGACAGTCCCAATAAGTTGAAATAATTGTATCTCAGTTAGGAACTAGATTCTTTGCCACTCTCCCTGTTTGATGACTTTTCCTTACGTAAAGGTACAAACTCTTCATTTCTGAAAGTGTTCTTTGAAGGCATTACAGATGATGTAACGGAAGAAGAAAATCCGTAAAAAATAGGTAGAGCAGTGATATAAGATCGATATGTTTGGCTAAATGACCAAAAGTAGAGAAGTTCACAACTATGCATGCGGACTGGTAGGTGCTGAGTCACGTCTTTTTAAGTAGTCAGGTGTTAACAATGTTTTCAGGATGGCGCTCATAATGACCCCGCTGCTGTCTTAACAACCTTCCCCCAAGGCCATACCCCCGAAACGCAACCATCCCGCGGTTGATGAAAACTTTTGTTTTCAGTCAGGTTTACTGTTAGTTGATAAAGTTTTATTCTGTGAGTTTGAGATTAGGAAAGTAGCAAAATAAACATTTTATAATAATTGTGTTTTAATGTTTTATAAATGTTTACAAAATGAACTATTTACAGTAGTAACTTTTTAAGTTCATACAGAATATACATACTTGTGGTAATACATATCAGCCAAAACAGCAGAACACCTCATCTTATCAGACTTAAATTTTTGGTGATGAACTCACCTGAATTAATACAAAAAATAAATAATTTTACAAAATATTAATTCTTAAAGAGAGTCGTTTATTGTATCTACATTTTGGTGTAGTACGTTTGTAATAGTGCATTACTTTAAAGAAATTTCTCAAATTGTAAACATATTTATGTAATTAATTATTTACGGTAATTAACATCTTTTATATTATTACTTTGTAGTAAATGGTGAAAATTTGTTATATTAATTTATTTAAATAACCTAAATATCATAAATAAATTACGTTATTACTGTATTTTCAATTCATTTGAGATTATGACAAGGATGTGTTTTCTCTTTTACAGAAATTATTACTGATCTACATGTAATATTATTAAACAACCAACTTGTGCAACAATTGTATTGAACATTAAAGAAGTATCATTTTAACTTAAATACTTTGTATTTCTTATTAATTTGTAGGCACACTACAATTATTAGTACACAATAAATTAAATAAGCTGTTTTAGGGTCACTCTGCTGAATTGCTTAGAAAAATAAACTTAAAAGAAATATTTACTAAAAAACTCAACTGGAAATAAAAAACCACATTGTTTCAAATCGAGATTAGGGTAGAGATTTGCACAGTACTTCATAAAAATGTCAAGAACAGTTTACTACAGATTACTATAACTAGATTATTCAGGAGGTAACATGCACGTGTGCAGGGGAAGACATAAGACTACGCAGTGGACTGTGCAGAATCTTCTGCGGAATGTCTGAAGCTTCACTGGTTGCTTGCTTGATTGCTTCTTTGTAAGGTCCAGATTTTTTCTTCTTATTGAATCGGACCTGTAAAAGTCAACCATAAATTAGTTGTTAGATATTTTCCTCTGTTAACAATCTACCATTCACTGGTCTCTTTGTTTCTTTGTAGTCATTAGTTCAAGCCAATGAAACGTGTTGTGATACGGTGGACAGCTGTAGAAAATCGCATCTTTGATCAGCTTAACTAATTAAACTTAGATTAATTGTTTGAACTCTAAAGAGGTTTTAGTTGATAAGTGTTGTAAGTGTGGTGAACAGTAAGATCTAATCAATGACCAAGACAACCAATCAGAGATCAATATCTAAGACGTCGTCTCTCCAGCTAGGAAGTTGCACTCAAGTTTAAGCATTTTAATTCTGTCTCGGTCATCTCTGGCGCGCTCAAAAGAAATTTTCTGTGCCAGAGCTTTTATCTTTCACCCTTGAATAGCAAAGAATTTAGGTATCATTTAATAGCTCACCAAGGAAGGGTAGATGTTTGTGTTGCATACTATCAGTTACACACCTTAAAAGTCTCGAGGAAGGGGCTGAGATGTTGGCAAGACATGAGAGAGGATGTGGAGGACCCGTACCAGGAGACATGTGCTTGTGCTGGCTCACCATCTCTACGTGTGCAGATCTTGGTCACCTGCAACATCACACAGGGAATGTACAGAATCCTCATTAGATGAACATTATATATTTGCTGTCAAACACACGTGGTTATATTTAGTTGACACTGGCACACTCAAACATTCCCACATTAAATTTAACAATAGAATAAGTAGTTGACTTGATTTAACTAAATAATAAGTCCGCATCTTCTAGCCTATTTAGAAAAATTGATTTTATAATACCTAGATAATTAAAACTGCTGATTCATGTGGTTGTTTTAATTCCAAATCACAAAATATAAATATTTTTTGTTATAACCTAATTTAGATTACACTAGCTGTGTGCCCGTTCTACGCACGGGGATCTTATAGTAGTCAGTTGAAACCTTCTTATATAAATAACAGCAGTTGGTTTGCATATTTTCAGATATATATAAACTATCTATACAGGGTGTATATAAAGTCCCGCACGGGCTTAATATTTTCTAAACGACAACAGATAAATCAATAAGATTTGTTACATCAACACCACACCTAAAAATCTACTTTTTCAAGGAACTATGAATTTTCTGTCATATCATGGGGACGTCCCGCAAGGAGTCAGAAGGAAATCTTAAATAGGAGCATAGGTCAATATGCACATCAGTTTAAAGGTCTTTACTAGCAGAATATAATGCCGCAAATTTGAACTCAAACGGACAACCGAGCCAAGAATGACAGCTGTTCAAAGATTCATTTAATTTGCATTGCTATTATACGCTTACTCCTCAGGGGGCACAGCCCTAGGAAACGGAAAAAAATTGTTAACGTAAGCATAGGTCGATATGCACATCAAATTAAAGGTCTTCACTAGTAGATAACAATGCCGTAAATTCAAGCTAAAAAGAACGCCTGAGTAAAAAATGGCAGTCGTTCAAAGATTCAAAATGGCAGATTCAAGAAATCTTTGAACGGCTGCCACTTTGCGCAGGATCAACCTTTTGAAGTGCAATTTGCAGCATTGTATTCTACTAAAAAAGACCTTTCATTTGGTGTGCATATTGACCTATGCTTCCATTTAAGATTTTCTTCCGACTCCTTGCGGGACGTCCCCATGATATGACAGAAAATTCATAGTTCCTTGAAAAAGTAGATTTTTAGGTGTGGTGTTGATGTACCAAATCTTATTGATTTATCTGTTGTCGTTTAGAAAATATTAAGCCCATGCTGGACTTTATATACACCCTGTATATATAAAAGGCAAAGCCCTCACTGACTCACTCATCACTAATTCTCCCACTTCCCATTTACCTAGGAGGTTGAAATTCGGTACACCGATTCTTTGGGCATTAAATAGGAAAACTAAGTAGTTTTTATTCTGATCGGGCTCTTGGGCTCCGCCCCAGTGGCTTTGGAGTTTCCCATGTTAACCTTATGAGTACTCATATTTAAATGGAAGTAAAGAATCTTAACAGCTGGTTCAACTAAACAAGTTGATTCTGTGATGTTCAATAGCATTAAAGAGTTAATAGGTTTACCAACAGGGTGCAGCACTATTTTTTTACATTTATGACAACAGCTTGCAACCAAAAGGTGAGTGAGCATAGCGAACAAACTTAAACCTGGAGGCGAGTTGGTGTAGCGAACGAGCTAACCTGAAGGCAAGTGAGCGCAGCGAACAAACTCCAACCTAAAGGTGAGTAAGCGTAGCAAACGAACTTCGGGGGAAACGGTCGGGGCAAAGCCCGCGGGTACAGCTAGTTATATATAAACAAATACAGCATCTGACAGTTTCAAGTCAAAAAAATGCTTTAGGGTGATTTGTACTCAGTGTGACAAAATTTTTTGGTGTACGTACAAAGTAAATGAAGTGTCATGATGTATATCAAATGTTCCAAGTCTAAAAATTAGCTTCCCAAAAAATTATTTTATGTTTTTCAAAATTAACCATGTTTTTAAACTTAATACAGCGATTTCTCAATTACCTGTATATGGATTTGAGTAGATAATGTAATTTTCGTGTTCTACATTAAATTTTGAACAAGAATAATAGAAAATGACGGAGGATCAGTTGTAAAAACTCCATTGTAAAAAGATTCAAAGATAAAAATTAAGATGTTTGATAAAAATTGTAAAAACAATGGTCTATTGCATTTTTCACACCCTGTATACAAGAAAGTGTCGGAATATGTTAAAAACTGCGCCATTTTATAAGCTTTCCAACGATATGCTATACTATTGAGGTTTATGTCTGCTTATGTACGCTTTAATGGTTTGAAGACTACAAAGCATGGTGTCTTTAACATTTAAAACATAGAAATTCGGCATGTATTAAAAGTTGTATTTTTGATTCAGCTTGAACAGTAAAAACAGTAAAAAGTTCCCTGTTTTCTGGTATTCAAACCACTAAAACAAACAAAAAATATCTAAACCTCAATAGTGTAGCATATGGTTGGATAGCTTATAAAATGGCACAGTTTTTAACATATTCCGACACTTTCTTGTATACAGGGTGTGAAAATACAATTTACAATGGAGTTTTTACAACTGATCCTCCGTCATTTTCCATTATTCTTGTTCAAAATTTAATGTAGAACACGAAAATGACATTATCTACTCAAATCCATATACAGGTAATTGAGAAATCGCTGTATTAAGTTTAAAAGCATGGTTATTTTTGAAAAACATAAAATAATTTTTTGGGACACTAATTTTGAGACTTGGAACATTTGATATGCATCATCACACTTCATTTACTTTGTACTTACATCAAAAAAATGTTGTCACACTGAGTACAAATCACCCTGTAGATCTATGAGGCATAGCCCTAAAGTCTATAATTGAAGCTACTTTTCACAATGGTTAAAAGTAGTTGAAATACTAACTCAACCTCACCATTAAACATTCCGGTTGAAATTTTCCCTATCAAAGGTGCTCTTGTCCTGTCCGTACAGAACACTGAGAAATTTGCACTACCAACAGACATACACACAAAATACATAGACAACGGAAAGCGTTTGAACATGATGGTTTGCTGAATAAATGTTTTGCTCAAATGGGTTATAATTTTCTTAGCACAAACTAACATTTTGGAATCCAGACAGAAAAAGCAAAACTTATACAGTAAGACATCAATTAAATTGAATACGACTGTAATAAATAAGGTGTAAATTTGTATAATGTGTTGGTACGTAAAAATGATTCTCGCTGCTATCACCGGTTCTAAGGAAAAGAACCAGTACCAAAAACCAAGGTTTACAGTTAAGAACTTAGTAACGGTACATCCGACCAACTAAATGCGTAAATCAAGTCCCGAGGTTATTGATCTCTCTTGGTTTTGGATTTTCTCACAAAAAGTTATCGAAAATCAAAGTTATTACCCATTAATTACATTATTTGTAAACAACTTTTATGTAAACATATCGGTGACAGTTTGAAAAAACCACCTAATCCCAAAAACTTTTTGTTATTTAATAGATGTATTCTTTAAACCATGTTTGGTATATCTAATAGATGTATTCTTTAAAACATGTTTGGTATATCTAGTAAACATCAGAAGGAAATCACAATGTTGGGTTTTTCAACGTTTTACATTTATTTACTAAGTATTAATTTACTAAGGCCATGTATTCTAGGTAAAAGTACCAGTATCAAGGATCGTTGTTGAAATTTGGTTATGAATAATTGTTTAGGCCTACGAACCTAAGAGATGGGCAATTGGTCTATTGGCTGTATGGTCCAGCGATTGCAGCACATACATAGCGGTGAGAAGACACATTGGAAAAGCGAGTTGAGCATAATCTGTAAACCCCTGTTACATTCACCCTCTGCAGTTGTCACTTTACACTTTACACAACCATTGGAGTGCTGTCAATGAGTTGAAACCTTTTTTGTAAGCTATTGGTAACGCTTATTTAAAAAATGTAAGTTTCCCAGCCATATACAACACTGATTCAAGGTCTTTTTCCCAGTTATCAAAACTCAAGAACAATTGTATACACAAAGAATCTCTATTTTCATTTACGGTAACCCTACACATGATTGCACTTGCGATTAATTAAATCCGTTATGTAAGGAAAAACGTTTTTAATCTCACTTGGTTTGGATTTGCTTTCAAAACGTGATCGGAAATGGTTGCGGTATTTGTAAAAAACATTCAATGTAAACATATCAGTAACAGTTAAAAAAAATAATCTTGATCCGAACAGCTGTTCGTTATTTCATAGATGACTATGTGATAAACATTGGGAGAAAAATTGACAAAAATCGCACAAAATTGGGGTTTTTAAACATCCGTAATTTTATTTATTCAAAATTCATTCATTCAAACATCATTTATTCCATGATAAACAAAAAATTACAAAACAGTATTCTTAATATTAATGGAATTTCCCCACATAGGCGAAGCCTGTGCGTGGGGAACGAGTTATTATCAGACTATCCATATTATAATCTAACATCGTTTTAATAATAATTGTTACTCTAACTACTAATTACACATTTACCAAAAAGGAAAAAAAAACATTTTTACCAGGAAGCCACAGCAGATAACGAAAGTATTATGGAAATATCTGAAAAAAGTAAAGATAGAGACAAATCTAATAATAATAAATAAACGATAAAAAACTAGAAAAAAGGATATTTAAGGGTACTGTATTTAATAATACTGTGAAAAGCACTGGGACTTGGAAACCATTCATACATCTTCTACCCACACTCACGCACAAACAACACACACTCACACACACACAAACGCATGCAACGACTCACTACTACAGGCCCTGTACAGGCGGCTGGTAGCCCTAAAGGGCCGTCACTGCTCTGTCCCTGTGGGGCTGTGGGCCAGCGGCGAGCCTACTCTCTCTCTCTCTCTCATGCAACTCTCTCACTCACTCACTCACTCACTCACTCTCCCACTCACACAGACAGCCACATCATCGACGACACACGCACACGCACACGCAAACTACGAATACAATGACACAAGATAACAATCAATCTGGCCACGGCCTGTTTCCACTAACCATTTGTCTACTTGATTTTTATATGTTTGCAAACTGCAAGGTTCGGGATACTTTAAACTATTAGGTAACTTTGAGAACATTATTTTTGCAATGTATTGTGGAGAAGTTTTATTTATCGTTTTTTTCACTTTTGGCAATTGGATACCAATATTAACTGAAAATCTAGTTGGATAGTTGTGAGTTGGTTGGCAAAAAATATATTGTTTATTCTTAAAAATATATATTATTAAAGATCTAGTATATAGCTGGGAAATATTAAGTACTTTGAACTCATCAAAAACTGTTTCAGAGGGATATCGAATAGGTTTGTGGAGTGCAATCTTGATTATTCTTTTTTGAATAATTTCTATTGGTGCAAGTATACTTTTGTATCCTCCACCCCAGGCCAGATTTCCATATTGCAAAACAGATTGTACATAAGCATAGTAGACATTCTTTAACAAATTAATTGGTAAAATATTTGATAGGTTTGCAAAAACAAAGATAAATTTACGTAGTTTGACCCTGATTTGATTAATATGGCCAGACCATTTTAAACGTCGATCAAATATCACACCTAAATATTTAAATTCACTGACACATTCAATACTTTCACACTTGTCACACACATTGCCAGCGCTACAACTATGTAGTTTTAATTCTAGGTTTCTAGGGTCGTAGTCAGCTCTGAGGGAGATTGGCATATACTTAGTTTTAGATATATTTACCGTGAGTTTATTTTGATCGAACCATCGCTTGACGGTGAGTAAGCCCCGCTCCGCACCTTGATACACCTCCTCCCAGCTATCGCCCTCAAACAGAAGAGCGGTGTCGTCGGCATACAGGAAGATCTGTCCAGCTTCCAGATTAATTTTACCAAGGTTATGAAGTGATCGGTTATCGATGTTTTGATTATCGCAGATTTCACATCGCTAATATTTTTATTATTTGTAAAAATGTGGTCAATGCAGCTCTCTGAGTTATGTGTGACTCTTGTTGGGTTATTAATACATGATGTAAAGCCAGCTCCATACATAACATCGAGGTATCGCTGCGACAATGGATTTACAAAGTAGTGAGGCCATATTTTAATAGCTAAAGACACTCTCGCCAATCCAGTGAGTACATTAAAATGATTTTGATCTTGATAGGTACTCTCGTTTTTCAGGAGATGGCCATGTAAAATGGCTCTTGGGCCGTGACAGAGAGACAGACAGAAATTTAGATGAGACTTGTTTTGGCTTCTTTAATTTATAAAACGTAAAAATAACCTAAAAATTTATGATTCTGAGCAATGTACAGGCAAAACTCTAATTTTATTTATCTAGATAAATAAAATCTATAAAATACTGTACCTATTCGATCAGTGGTAGTTTCCAAATGGCGTGTAATATTTTCTCTGTATTATTTTATCAATGGTCATCATCCGAATGTTTATCTTTTGTACTGAGTTTAGGTCGTATGATAATTGGATTGATTTTAAACTTATGCTATGGTTCTTTGTTTTGTTTACATTTACGTCGTTATTTTGTAACCATCATGGCAACCTACAAGGCCAATGTTAAAATTTAAAATCTTTGATTTACTTTTGAACTACATAGGCATTATCAAAAAATGAAATTGTTTTGTCTTAAACCTTCTAAACATTTGTCGAAACAACCTTTGTAAGTTTGGCTAAAATATGTTCAGCCGTTAATAAGGGATAGTGTTAGAAAGTTTGCATTGAAGCCGATCCCAAAGAGCTTCGCTTTGCTCCGCTCAATGAAAAATTTATTATTTATACTGTATAGCATATGCTAGAACTGGTCTTTTTGTTTTGAGGTGGTGCTGTACATTACTATTGACATATTAGAATTGTATTTTTGTGAATACTGTACAGTGTACAGTGCATACCTAGGAAAATAAAGTTACGTTATGTTAAAAGAATATGGGGGTTTTCTTAAATTTCCAACACTTACAATATAGCTAGTTTAGCCTTTGCTTTAATTGTGTTTTAACAAGTCGACCGACATTTACCTATGCTGTTAGTGAACCTTGACTTGGCCAATTCTTTGCAAACCTAACCTCATGCAAACAAAATCCTTGATATAACGGATATCAAGGGACCGGACTAAATATTAGTTATATCAAGGATTTTGTAGCTTAATAAATCATATTCCCCTTAATACCTTTTACCTTAATACCTTATACATTTTTTAAAACTCCTTTTTAATATCATCTTAAACTTTGGCAAAGAGTTCCAAATTCTGAATGTAGGTATTGTATGTTTGCTTTTTACTTTAATTACAATTTTTGGGAAGTGTTTGACATATATATTGTATACTTTACCTTTCCAGGCCACCATGGAAAACCATGTATTTTGCCCCAGACAATGTCACCTACAGCGAAGGTGTTTGGTCCAGGATCTATATCTGCTGAAGGGTTAGAGGAAGACAGGGGAGACTGTAGAGGATGGTGGGGCGAGGATAGAGGGGATTGGAGAGGAGGGAAGTCAGGAACCGCTTCTTCAGAGCTGGAGCTACTTGAACCTGACTCACTGGAACCTATAACAGCATGAAAACAAAATACATTCAATAAAAGAAATAGAAAAACTTTGTGACCAAAAGTTTACTTACAGTAGACTCTCTCTATATAGATTCCTTTTAACCTGACTAGACTTTTTCTCAGCATATCAGTTTAACCGGACCGGATGGTCAGGGATTGGGCGATACTGAAACGACTTTTTCGTACCAGTGATCATGTCTCTAAATATACAATAATGCTCTTCCAAATTTAAGTAAAATATTTGGGTTGGTTCTCGAGTAATTCTGGGTACGTTGGTTCAACCCGTTATTCGGACTGGCCTTAGTTCGGAGGAGTCCCGATAAGAGGGAGCCTACTGTATTTGAAGGATTATTACTGAAGGGTAAACTGTTATTGCTTTAATTGGCCCTAATATGGCCCAAGAGTTATATCATTATATTAATACAGAGTAGAGAGACATCAATTTACTTAAATGGTATGATTGTAAAATTTCTACATGAACAAGAAAAGATAAATAGGCTCTTAGCGTGTTAGACTCCACTGATAGTATTTAATTGCAAAAGTTTGAGAGGTGTTATGTTTTCCATAATCAATAAAGCACAATTGCAATAACTTTCAATATTCACCTGGAGTAATTTTCATAGTCATAGCATAGAAACCTTATTCATAAGTATTTATGGACATGAATAGCGTCAAAATTTGAAAGCAAGAATTTCTTATGCAGGATTATATTTTAGTTTGCTCCTAATGGTTTAGCCAGGATCCAAGACTGTGTATTAAAGGAGTAGGAAGAGGAAAATCTTGAGTTCCAAGTAAGCTGGGTGTTTTGACAAGGGTGAAGGATATAATGACACCAAAGAAAACTAGACTATTAAATATATTCATACAAACCATTGTGTTATTTCAGGTTTATAATTAAAAGCAGCATTTTAATAGTAGTAGTTCACGTAACGATCAGGTAAAGGCTATTTACGCAAGTTACTTTACACTACTTTGCCTAGGACCGTTATTTTATTACTAACAATCACTACTCATAACTTGTAAGAGAGGTTATGTTTTCATTAATAACCTCTCATTGCTACGGTGACTCATCGTACCAACCACTCATTAACAATTGAATTGGTCTTAGGCCTACCAGCTGATAAGATGACGTTGGAAGCATTAACATTTTACTTGATTTATAAATAATATTAGTTGGTAGTTTATTATGAACTAGCTGGCCCGACAGACGTTGTCCTGTCCTAATGTGGTTTTATGTCAAATGCTCGTTCATTTTCAAGATGAGCTCGTTCGCATGGCTCAATCACCTGGTCTCAGTTAGTTCGCTACGCTCACTCACCTTCAGGTTACGACCATTACGACCATACATTCGCTACGCTAAATCGCCTTCGAGTCGAAAATCATTCGCTACGCTCACTCACCCTTTGGTTACAAATTGACTGTTGTCATAAATAAAAATAATAATAGTGCTCCACCCTGTTGGTAAACCTATTAACTTTTTAATGCTATTGAACATCACAGAATCAAATTGTTTAGTTGAACCAGCTGTTAAGATTCTTTAATTCAATTTAAATATGAGTACTCATAAGGTTAACATGGGGAACTCAAGAGCCACTGGGGCGGATCTGCACCAAACTTCACACAAACCATCCTTGAATAATGCTTAATAATGCATGAAAAGTTTCATTACAATCTGTCGAGCGGTTTCGGAGTCCATAAAGGACAAACAAACAAACATACATACAAACAAACATACAATGGATTTTATATATATAGATATCACCCCTGGAAGTATGTACAGATAGATAAGAAGATTTTCAAGTACCATAGTTGGAAGTTGGAAACAATGCCAAATTAGCGGCCTATGGAAGCAAACAAACCAAGAGTGTACAGAAGTTCAGATCAAAATAAAATAGTGGTGGGACAAACCTTGAGAATCATAGAGACATTACCAAAAATGCTCTGGCATGTGATTTGCTGGTAAAGGAAGAGTTGGAATTCAAATGGATACTTGGAGGAAGATAAGACCTGGGAAGGATAGAGCAAGGTAAGTGACTAATAAAGTAAGGTAAAGAAATCCAGAGGAGGCCCCATGGAAGCTCCAGGAGTAGTCGACTAGAATTAGTGTCACAGAAATCAATGATATAAAAAAATCCAATAGTAATTATAATCAATGGGTGTTTATATCCTGTTTCAATGTCTTTGAAAATGTTAAAAATTTGTGATAAAGTTCGGTACCGGATACATGATGTACACTGAGGAAATATTTGCAGAGTTTCCTCACTTTTCTTCCTGAGAATTTGCACTACTCATTAGCATGACGTTTTCCTGATTTATTTATTCCATCAATGAATCCAAAAAGTTGATCAACAGTTGCTCCATGTTGGCACTTTGTTGATGATTTTAACTTTAATAATCACACAATCAGCAGTTTTTTTCATTCTTCAGGTGATCCACTGCTCTCAATTCCGGTTACCAATAGTATTGGAAGTAGTTGAGTAACAGCAGCTGCAGCTTTCAGGGATTTACCAATTACTTGAATGTGTGTTGTTTCTATCAACCAAATACCTAACACCAGTTATACTGTACTCACCAGTCACTCAGTGTAGTCTAATGCAAGTGAACGCAACTTCTTAAAGATTTATATTCTTACGGTCCCTTACCCTAGCCAGCCTTCAATAAACATAACCTAAGTTAGTCTTAGTTTTTGGTCATTTTATCCTCTGAATTGCTTGTTTTCAATCATAATACAAAAGTTGTTAGTACAATAATTTTGGACTGTTTGTACAGTAATTTCTACCCACTCTTTATGTCAAATAGGTTGGCCATTTGTGAGTAGAACGTAATTTATATTATAAGTTATTTTTTATCCTCATGACAAAGAGTTAAATCATGTATAGAAAAAAATCTTAGAAAGATCTTAGATGTTTTAGAGGTTAAGTGGTAGAGAGGACTTGCTAGTCCTAACTTCGCCTCTTAAATAAAGACATTTTTCATTTCATTTCATTTATAGTCCAGTCAACCTGTGTTTTTAGGTGGAAAAAATTAGTAACAAGCTGATTTTTTCCCCATCGACTACTACCATTTAGAGAAGTGTTCAGCCAAAGGTCCCCACCCCTACCCCCCTTGCTTCCCCCCTCCCCTACGCCCCCTTAAACATATAAAGTGCAAGGGTTTCGTAAATCATGTTTTTCTCGTTTGTTAAACAGCCTATTGAATTGCAATTAGTTTTACTGTCTTTGTTATAAAATTTCCTCTGTTCATTTAACTTTCGTCGTAGCTGTTACCGTTTGTTCGTTATTTGTATGAAAATGTAAAGATTTGAATATTTTTTAAGATATAATTTTATTTTTATCACCTTAACTTTTTTCGCTGACGTTTTATGAGAATATGTTTTGTACAAAAGTTGTAGCTGCTTTCATTAGCTTTAAAATGATATATAATAGTACTTACATTATTGAAGATCCTACGAGACTCAGCCGGTGTAATGCAGTATGTGTACTCAATCAGTGGGCTAAGTGGGGCTGGCGCGGCGTTGCAATACTATCATTGTTGTAATATGGAGAGTGTTTTTTTTTTTTTTTAAGGTACACTATTGCATTATCTCCATACCCCACCGCAGAAAACCTGAGACTAAGCAAATTTTCATTTACCTGGCTGGATATTTACTATAACATTCCCTTAAAATCATCAAAATTATTTCCTGATCAGATTATTTTAATGAATACTTAGGTTTGCTGCTACAGCCAAGGTATTGAATAGTGTTCTTTTATTGAAATCTTGATAGCTTTTTATGAAATAAATAAATTTGATTAAAATATATCTATAAACAAGCAAACTACAACAGTTTTTTTTTCTCCAAAAGAATAAAATCGGAATTTTAAATTTTAATTTTTATGAATTATCTCCGTAACCGTTATAATAAAAAAATATTTATTTTTTAAGCTCTACAAAATGGTTTGAAAAGAAATTGTAATATTTTGTGGTTTTAGGGTAGAAATGGGAATAACCAACTTTTACCCCATAAAAACACCCATAAACCCCTATTCCCATAGTCCATCATACTGGTTCGCAAAACTCGTTCGAATAAACGTATTGATATGTTTGTACCAAATTTCATCAAAATCGGATCATTTTTGCTTGAACGGACTCATATATATATATAATCTTAAATTTTACATTTTATTTATGAATTTGAACGGTAAAGGGTGTTTTCGGCCTCTGAGGGCCTCAATCTGGCCCGGGTCCAGGTCTTACCATGAGACCTACGGTAATAGCTTATTTCCTATATTAGGAATTTGCCAACAAAACAACCAAATCAAAACCCATGTGCAGTCAATACAATTTGCTTACATCCATTGTATTTAAAAAGCATGAAATCATTTTATATGTACGTAATAATTTTATTGGATGTTACTTTTTAACAAAATAATTCCATTATCATGATTTTAAGTTAAGTTAAGTTACTAATACATCAAATTGCAATTTTTCCCTTACAACTTCTTTCCCCCCCTGATCTTATATTTTCAACACTGGGGTAAGACGAGTACATACACTCGGTTTTTAATTTCTTGTCTTATCAAAGCCGCAGCTGTAGAAACTATTCTCTTAATCTTATCATCGTTATGCCTTTTATTTTAAGAGTACCAAGTTTCAGAGAAAATCTTGTCCACCCTATTTATTAAACAAACTATGGAGGATTTGAAGGGTCCAGGGGAAAACCGGGCTAAGTCAGTTTTTCAAAACTTTTCAGGAGAGCCATTTAAAACTTTTGAAACCTAAAATGCAAAAAAATATTTTTTATTTTATTGGCAGAATTCCAGTATTATTGGAAAGTTAAATTATAGAGAATTCATTTTTTTTAATGTCATATTTACAATATTTCTTAAACTATAAATTATTTAATGGGTATTCTACCAATGTAACTGGGGAAAAACGGGCCTTGTTCATAGTTTTAGTTTTATCATAATTTTCCTCAATTGGCTCAATTCAATCGCAAACTTTTATGAATGATTCTTTT